GGAGGATCACCAGTTTGACATCTATGTGGGCAACTTAGCAAGACCCTGTCTCAAAATAACAAAACGAACAGGCTGGGGATGTAGCTTGATGGTATCATACCCCTGGGTTTGACCCCGCAGTCCTACCCCCTAATTTTTTTCTATGTGGTAAGCCAATAACATCTCAATGCCTATTATAACAGTATAAATTATTCTAAAACAGATGGCATCCAGAAATAGTTTACAAGAAAAACATAATATTGCAAAGATACTGTCAATAGTTTTGTGTATTTATTTCCCCTTTCTTCCTTTTTCAAACTTTAACATCCTTAATTTATCTCAGTTTCAAGATAAATTTAGCCATCATTGCTACCTCCAGAATTCCCAAGCTCTATTTAACCTTATCCTAGAATTTACATAAACAAAAGCAGACAAGTATCTGAACAAACTGCTGGGCTGTGACTTCTACAGTTGTAGCCCCCAGAGCCACTCAAAACAGCAGGTCTGGAAAGACCCTGGGGAATCTAGCCTATGTGTTCTTAGTTATGTTCTCTTTTTCTAGCTCTATTCCATGAGAAAAACCTGTGTGCACTGTCCCAAAATGAATCACCTGTCTGTGACAGCCTGCTTTCATCCTCTGGTAACTCTGTTCCCAGCTGCCCTTCAAACACAAATTAATTCTCCAGGATTTTGTTTCTTTGGTTTGTTATGGAGACAAAATTTACCTATTCTATTTTGCAGCGCCACTACTTCCTACTAGAGAAAAGGTTTGTTTCCTCCATCAAAATGGTGCCCTATTATAGAAAAAGCCACTTACATATTCAAAGGCAGTCTTTCGGCCCCCCAAGAAATAAAAATAATTTAATAATTAAGGAGGAATATGACAGAGAAGTAATTAGAGGAACATTTGCTAAGAAACTCCATGAAGTCAGGAACGCAGCTCAGTGGCACAGCGCCCGCCTGGCAAGTGCAAGGGTCTGAGTTCAATTCCTGGTATAAAAAAACAAAACAAACATCCATTTTTTTTTAGTATGAAGTAAAATGTCTGAGACTTTCATGTAAAAGTCCTACATAGGTTTCGTCTCCTAATTCATCCACCACATTGGCAGAAAGAGTTCCGTAAGCTGAACTTGGCCAAGTCTGTTTAGCTCATTTGTCACCAGGAGCCTGGGGCTCACCCGGAGCTGACAACTGCCTAAGGTGGATGGGATGGAGAGGGCGGGGTGCCGGCCTCGTATTTCACACCTCAGAGGGTTCCAGCTCCCAACAAAAACATCATATCTCTGTCAGTCAAGCTCAATTGCAGGGCTTGACAGGCAGATGCAAATAAAACAGCCAGTGTGAAAAGGTCTCCTGAGTTTTTTCTGGCTACAGTTCTGGGACCAACTTGGTTCTGGGACTACTAAGACAGCACTTCCCCTGGGGACAGAAAGACAGGGATTACATCCCTAACTGGCTCCGAAATGATCAGAACTAGGAGCAACATTCGCTCCATTTGAAAACCTGGAAGTTATTTCATAAATTCTGATCAAAGCCCTCACTTATTCCAGTATGAATGCATGTTCAGGGTCTCCAAAGTAGAAGGTATATTCGCATAGTCAGCAATCGACGGGAGGGTCAGTGACATGAGCCAGATGCTCAAAGCTCTGGCATGGAGTCCTTTAGAACAATATTCTAATATGGAAAGTAGAAAAGGTGTCTGATACTCGCATAAAACAAATTACATACATTATCATAAACTTGCTCCACTGTAGCCTTTTATAGCAGAAGCTCCTATGGCAACAACATCTTTGTGTCAAAATGCATGAGGCTGAATAGCCTCCTGTGGAGCACACCGATTTGTGGGATGTGAATCAAACTGCATTCCTTTCAAGTTTTAAATTATAAATGATCTCAGCATGCAAAAATATGGAAGCTGACAAGGGAAACAGATTATATATCCACAAGTAATTCTACGGTGATATACCAAAGTTTTCCAAAGTACATCAAATGAAGATGTACATGTAAGGCTGCTAAATTAAATTCCATCATTAATATAATTTACTTTTCTTTTTTTAAATCTTTCTTAAGAGAATTATTTTGGGAATGCAGTGAAAACCAGGTGACTCTTAGTGACAATGTGATGTGGCACCATCCCCAGGGGCAACTGAACCTATTGTTTGTTCTAAGAAGGACCAGAATGCTATCTTTTGCACTACTGGAGTAGATTTCACAAGCAATTAAAAGTGAATGACCAGGAAACGCATGTTAGGGCTCCAGGTTCCATGTGATTCCAAGTCACACTCGATAATCTTCCTGTTCAGAATTTTCCTGTAGACAGGAAGGTTACAGCCCCACAGAAGCCTGGGACCAGAAGGATGTCTTTGGGATTTACTTGCCTTAAGCTGTAGCCTCTAGTTACCTTGGGGCTTCCCATTCAAAGCTCAGAATGAGGCAAGGGCTACCAAGACTAAAGCAAAACACAAGATGACCTGTGTTTTACCCAGTTCCTAATTTGCAGTAATAGTTGAATAATTTTCCAAAAGTCAGAAACAAACATTGTATCCATCCTGTAAACATGAAAACAAAATAAAGGGCAGGGATCAAGAGATGGGACGCTGGGAGGAGAGGGAAAGAGGACGGAGGAAGGAATCAAGGTGGGCTAGGTACCAACTGCTCACGGGGGATACACACGTCATTCAGGACTATGCCACCCACTAATAAACTAAACTCCAATAAAGATGTGGAAAATAAAACTGTACATGCTGTCAGATTTCAGTTTATGGAAAAGAAGTAAAAGGTTAGACTACACATCAAATTAAAACAATGCTAAAAACAGGAAGAATAAGGTCGCTAGAAATTAACCTTTACCATAATCAGGCATTTCCTCCTTATAAATATATTGGTAAGCCTTTCTAACCCTAATAATGCCTTCAGAAGTACTTATTCAGAAAGAGAATAGAAATTTGTTACAAAGCCACCTACTCCAAAGCAAATTTGTTTTGTTTTGTTTTTGGTACTGGGGATCGAACTAGGGACCTTGCACTCCCAAAGCAAATTTGATAGAAGGCAGATGGTTCTTAGAAACCCTAAATCGGATTTAGAAATCAGAGCCTCAGTGGGATTTACTGTTTTATCCATAGGCCCCCTAGTACATGGCGTCCCAAGTACTGTGGTGACACTTCATTGGATTAGTAAGGACGGCACAGTTGATGTATTTTTTTCTCTTTTTCAAAATCAGTGGCTTCTCAAAGGAAAGCAACTTGTATTATCTTTTAGTCAGTATGAAAATTCATGATATCTTCCTTCTATAACGCGGTTTGCTATATTCATTTTAACTTCTTCAAAACGTAGTTAAGGTAGACCAGTATTATTGCGTGCTTTACAGACTAATCATTTTACATTTTTATATATTATTATGTATGTCAAGGAATATGATCTGACCTACCAAACATGGGTAACAATGGTCCCTGTCATAACACACAATTCCTAGTTGATAGGAAAAATGTAGGAAGCCAATTTAAATCAGACATATCTAATTCAATTTCAACTTTGCAAACCCTTTTGCTATCCAACCTTTGGTAATTAATCTCTGTGAGCCTCAGTTTCCACACTGAAATGCAGGATATCATCAGAGGGTTCCTTAAAACAAAATGACTATGTATAAAAATACCTCACCAGAATACAGTCTGCCTGCCATATACTAGGGGCTTGATATGTTGGCTGTCTTTATATATAATATGAGAAGGAAAAACAATATCTGTAAGTACAAAATCTAGGCTACCAGATGGCCTAAGAAGCAAGGGCTATAGGGATGCTTGGGTTTTCAGGGAAACCCTAGACCCTAAAGGTCATCATAGATAGAGATGAGATTGAACTACCTTTCGGCATGTTGAGTACACACTCCACAGAAAGAGGCCCTGAATATGCTACTCAGGCTATAACCTCCAGAATTTCCTCCAGGTAGTCATGGGTTGTTTCTAGTTTTGAAGACAGAGGCTTAAATATGAAGCCAAAGAGTACGGGCTTGCAGACCTGGGGCATGCCATCTGCCTAGCATTAAGCAAGAGCTGAAAGTCAGCTACAGAAGCAAACTCACTGCAAACATGATTTATGTTCCATGCTTGAACATGGCAGGAAGACTGCAAAAGGTTTTTGGAAGCCAATGCTTCTTCTGTCTGAATACAGTCAATGAGTCCACACTGAGCGCCTCCCTGGACCTCGAGGCCGGTCAGATATGCTGCCAAGTGGTACCCGCACCCCTGCCTCAGAGTGGCTATCTGGGATGAGCAAATATCCCAAGGCCATTGATCGCTGCTACTGTAAGAGCACAGCGCACTGTATAAACACTGGGGTCAGACAACAGCTATCCAGGATATTACTCAGAAACATATCCAGTTCAACGCTGACAAGATAATCTGCTCCTGTGAGCACAAAGCAGCCTGGAATGCTGCAGCCACGACCTACACAGGGAAAGAAAGGGAGAGGGAAACTCTCCACAGGCCCGACCAGGCTCTTCCTGCAGGGCAAGCTCCAACAGACTTCAAAGTCAGGGTGGCCAGGGGCAGGGAGACCAAGCCCACAGAGGTTATCACTTACCCAATCACGTTGTTGCCATCTGCATTTGCTGGTGTGGCAAATGCAAATATCTCAGACTCAAGTTTAAACAGATGGAAAAAAAAAAAAAAAGACGTGTGAAATAGCTTGGAGATTTGCTTGCAAAAAGAAACCTCAGAATTCTGGGAAAAGTATTTAAAATCAGAACGTTCATAAGTTATCTCAAAAGTCCCAAGAGAGTAATTGGCGTGTGATTGTATCAAAAATAAAAGTTTTTTAATGGACACATATTGCACTCCAAATATCACATGGTTCTAAAGTGTATAATTAAAAACTACATACATTTCCAACCTTAAGTACTCCTAAGAGGTCAGAAGCATGTTCCTAACTGTAATACAGGTAATAGTTTGATGTTTTGACAAAGTTTTAACATACGTGATCCTCCTTACTGAAGAAGAGCCAAAGTCATCAACCAACATACTTACAGGAGGACCTGCGGGTTGTGGTGGAGAGAGAGAAAAAAGGGAGAGATGTGTTAGTGAATATGCAAAACATTCCCATTAAAGAACCTTCACAGTACTTGGAACTCAATGATTCATCAACTTTTTTTTAGGTTCTGGACCCTTGGACAGCATCTCAGAAAAATGCATTTGTACCTGGCATACAAAATTTTACACACAATTTTAAGGAATTTTCAGGTTCCCCAGAGTCTGTTTGTGAATTAGTGAGAGGTTCATGTATCTTAAGACTAACTAATCTATAAAAGTTTAGCTAAAACATGAATCAGGAGGATCTTTGTTTATGACAGATCAGTACACAAGAATACAAATCTTGTCTTTGCAAAACAGCTAACAGAACTGAACCTGTTACTTGTTCTCAGAATGTTTTTCATTCAGCATAAAAAACCCTGAGGCCTCGTGTTTATATGTGTCTTTAAAACCATGTATTTCTCATCAAAACACAGGGAAAGACTAAGAAAATTTCAGTATTTCACATACCTCATGCTCAATTCAAACCTCAATTCAAAATAGGAAATGGAAATTGACTTTTACATTTTCTAGAGAACTTTGCATAAATGCAACATTTTTTCCCTTTCATCTTTCTTTGACACAAAGAACATTTCAGTGATTGTCCGACTCCAGTAGACTTTTGTTATTTCTTCCTTCTCAAAATGGTCTTATAAGGCACCTTGTAATATGAAACTTTGTAGTTTGGTGAAAGGATACTGCTACAAGTTTCCAATTACTTAGACTCACTGAAGTTTTAAGATAGAGTTTGAAAAATATTCTTAATGGAACCCAGCCACTACATTGCCCAAACTAATGAATTTTCATCATCACTTTTACTCCAACATCTTTTTCAAAGTTAAAAAGACTCCTCCCTCATCAATGTGCTGAGAGGTGTTTCAATATTTAGCAACTGATTATGTTTAATACTTATAAATACTTGTAGAAAACACTGGAAACCAGTATTTCAAAGCTTGCTACAATCAAATTTAAATTACTAAAACATAAAGAAAGAATTGATGGCCTGCTGAGAGCTTCACCTGGTCATTTACATTTTTGAAATCTTAAACTTATACAGTAAATGAACTTATTTATTGGTAGATCTTACTTTCAAAAATATTTTAATTTGCCCTTTCTGTATTTGGCCTAACAGCAAAAAGTCCCTGAAGGGGGAGTCAGCAGGATTAGTTCTGTTTCGGGATCTGGCCATGAAAATTGGCATGGCCCCGGCTGAGTCACCTGATTGCACTGGGTTCTCGGTTTCCTCAACCACAAATTAAAATGCTAGATGTCCACTAAGGCTCTTGTCATCGCTCAATTCAATGGCTCTGTGAGAAGGATACAAATTCCCAAAGCTTGAAAAGAATAAGAGTTAAAGCATGACAAAATTGTGCCAGTTGCATAAAATAATAACAGAGCTTTCCAAAATATGTGCCCTGGTATCCTAAGGCAGATGTTTTTGAGGAAAACCTGTATATCCTGAACACCTAGGGAGATGGAAACAGGAGAGCTGTGGCCATGCCGGGCGCTGCTAGGAAACCTTCCACTGTGCACTGGAAGATTGGCCATAACTCGACACAGCAAATGGGCCACATCTGAGGGTCAGTGGTTCCAGAAATGAACAATACTTCACAAAGTTCTCAGCTTATAGTTTGACAGAAATAACAGGAACATAAAAAATTTCTAGCTGTAGCACAGAAGATTTAAACCCCCACACAACCTCCAGCAAGAAAGTATTATCATTAATTAGGAGGAACAGATGTGGGACTCTCCTCAGAACGTGAATGACATGAAGCAGCTGAGAGACTTACCAGATTCTCCTCTTCGGCCCCTCTTCCCTCTTTTCCCCGGAGGGCCTGAAATACAAAGAATAATTTTTTGAATGTATTTTAACTGTTTTTTCTGGTTACAAATGGCCAGCACATAATTTCTATATATTTTCACACTGTTCTTAATCATCAACTTCAAGAAAGGGACCAGACATTTGTAAAGGTCAACATTGCCTTTAGTGTTTCAGCAAAACTCTTAAGCTCCATTTAATTATAAATGAAAGCTGGTTTAGATATCTAATCACCTAGTGTTATTTAAGAATACTAAAGACTCTGGGTTTTTGCGCATTCTACTTGGATATCATTAGTAAGAAAGGTTTTGCTAAGCAAATTGTTAGTGTTGAGAGTTTTGTTTCTCGGAAATCTTTCTTTTCTGAACGTTTCAGTGTATTACTGATTAAGCATATTAATTCCAAATGATGATTGTTTCTTTTCATTCAGGTTCATCAAGATTATTTCAAAAATAGTTAGCAATGAATTAAATGTACATATTGGTAAAGAAAATAACCCTTACAAATATTTTTATTTATTAAATATAAATACATTTGGATTTCTTTGAGAATGACCTGCAAAAATTCACAACCCTTTTAATTGGGTTGTGTTTAGCTAGTAATTTTAAGTCTGATTGTTCTAAGAGACCAGCCCCCTATTTCCATATAATGAATAGCCTATATGATGATGCCATTTCAAAAGTAGAGAAACTACTTTTTCTTCTAGTGAATTCCCTGTGAAGACCACTAGGCTTGCCTGCATCAGACCCAGCACATGATTATGGACCTTTCAGTGCTGAAGCCGTTATTCTCAATTACATAATTTTTGCCCTCATTTCCTCTGGTAGGAATGGTTCCCACTGAACTATGGTTCAGCCTAGTAGGAGAGTAATTAGCTCACAATGAGAATCCAGGACTTACAATACTCACTGGGAGACGCCAGCCAAGGAAGACAGAGCACTGCCTGGCCTTAAAGAATGAGCTGCTAGGTAGGACTGATGACTTCCAAACTCTAGAAGGTTCAAGACACAGGCAGCAAAGACCTGGGCACACAGCTGCTGTCCATGTGCTGCTGAGCACAGCCCTCATGAGGACCCACTGTCAGAAGAGCTAGTGACATCAGTGGCCCAGCGAGCTCACCCCTAGACCCTCACCGGGGTAAGTCTGGCCACTTGTTTGGTTGGAGAGTACAAAGGCAATTAAATGGTAAAATCAACTAAAAGCCCTAGGAAAGGCAGCTCTGCAACAAAGTCTAAAGCTGCCTTTGGAAATTTCAGCTTTGCTTCTGTATTCTGGAATAAAAGAAGGTTTTCACCATGTTTAATGTATTCTTGGCCAGACTGACAGCGAGAGGAGAATCATAAAAGTAGGTAAATAGATCCAGTGGGACCTTAATAGATATGAAAAATATACATTTATACACCTGTCCAAACACATACATTCTGATGTATTCTAATACATACAGCTTCCCCAAGATTAGCAATCAGACTTTTCTGGAGTATAAAGTCACCACTGAAACTATGGCAGCAACCACTGTGCGCTCAGGGTGTCTATGGTTCAGACAGTAGAACTGCTGATGAGAGTTTTCCAGAGTTGAACCGAGAAACCACAAGCCTGGACTTTCCTCCAAATGTCAAATCAAAAATAATTCACATTGAAACATGCAGAAAGAGAAGTGTAAGAAGCCTAACAGGTAAAGATAAAACGTTAGAAGTCACCACAGAGGAAGCTATTTTCACTGTCTGCCGACTCCTCACCACCAAGGAGTGTGGAGACCTAGTCCTGATTTTCATGACAAGTCCTAGAAGTCTTTATTAATCATCGATTAGGAATTAGCTATTTGTATCCTATCCCATGAAAATTCCTTTAAAATGGAAAAATTTATCAAGCAAAAGGAACATATTACACAAATATTTTAAAAAGAACTTAAAGTGAAAACTACTTAAAAGATATGAGATTATGAAAAAAATCATCAAAAAAGAGGTGGCATCTTTTGAATAAAAAACAGCTACCTCTGGATACATCTGCCCAAACATTCAGTGAGCAGTTCTAAAGAAGGAATCAAATGTTGCCGAAGATCTGTTAGATTGAAAACTGAAGAATAGAATGTAAGGAAACAGAAGATATTTGCCAAGGAAGCCATCAAAGATGACAGGGTTTTACGAAGAGTATCATAATATTTGAGAGAGAAAGTGAAGCTAAACCAAATTATGAGAAGATTAGATCTAAAATATACTGGATTTACAAAGAAAACATTAGATTGAGGAAGGGCATAAGTACAATAGGAAGCTGAAGAACAGGCATGCAATGAATGTGATACTGAGCTCAGTGAACTGAAAGATTATACAAACAAAAAAGACCTAAAGATCTTGCTCATGAAGAAGATATCAAGTTTGAAGAAGTCTACCCCACAGATAAGATAATTGGATCTTGCATCTGAATTTAAGAGCAAAAATTTAAAATGAACTAGATGAGATGAATTTGACAATGGCCAGCCAACAGATCAGCAGAGTAAGAAGGCCAAAAAAAAAAATCAGAAAAGACATAAGATAGATATTTCCCAGGCAAACTGATGTTAACAATAGCTGAAAAAGACAGCGACCATTTCCAGTCCACACTGAGTGATGGAGAAGGTGTCAGGCAGGCAGGATCTGTAAGACAAGCACAGAAGCTGAACATTTCTTGCTCACTGAATTTGGCCAGAGCCTTGCAACAGAAATTTGCAATGAATTCTATCAGCAGAACGAGATGACTCTGCAAAAGAAACTGGTTCAAGAATATGAATGGAAGGAGAAATAGCAGAAGCTATTGGCAACAGAGAAAGTGCAGCTTCTAAGCAGAGAATTCATCCAGTGAAAAAATGAATGACAAAAAGCCAGGGGAGATGACAATGGCAGATTCATGACAACTGGTGCTGCTGTGCTTCAGAAAGTCTTCTTGCTAACTTCAAACATCCTAAGTTTGGGAAAATCTGGCCACAGTGGGAATGCATTACAAACCCAGATAGACCCAGATCACCAAACAACATCACGGCAAGTTCTCTTACACCAAGCCAGTCCTTTTGGCTCATGGCTAATATCGCCAAAAGACTCCACTCCTAGCCCATGATACATCTGCCACGGCTCTTCTCTAAGGTTAAATACACACCTGGAAGTAAACAGGAGCCTATCCAGGGGCCTTCGCATGGCCTTGAGAAGTGCTTTCTAGAGACAGCTGAATGTTCTTATCTGGTTTATCAGATGAATGACCCAAACCTGTCAATTCTACCCTATTTCTTGCTGCTTCGTCCCTCCCATCAGTATTTCCGGATCAAGCTTAAATATAACCCCTCTGGGTATCCTGAGAAGAGATTTTCACAGGGACTCTTATCTGAATTTCATAACACGTTTGGCTCTCAAACATTCACAACTACACATGCAGTGTGTTAGAGAAGGGTTTCCAAATTCACAGTGGGCTGGGTGTTTTGTTTTGACCTCTTGCTTTCCATTTTGACACACATTTCCGGCCTGGGCAGCTGTGCATAGTGTGCCGTCCTAACAGCCAGAGCAGGGAGCGGTGTGGCCGTTCCGAAGCAAGCATGACTTGGTGGTCAGTAGGACAGGGATCAGACGTTAGTACCTGGCTGAACTTCCGTTAAGAAGGTAATCAATGTACGTAGACACATACTAGGTGTTCAATAACCATCACCTCCCTCTTTTGCTTTTTTATATTTTCTTTTTTCTTCATCAATAGTGATTAGAATGTATTTGAGAATCTGATTCTAAAAGTGGTATTGGTGCGTGAAGACTGAGAGATTAATAGTAATTTCTAATCATAATCTTCAAAGAGCCAATTTAGTATGATGAAGAGAATACAAAACAGAGTTGAAAGATTGGTAAGTTTTGGCTATGACAGAAATTGATCTAGTTTTCAATTAATCTCTGATTTAATCTGCTTTCTGATAAATAAGACTACTCTTGCCCCATTTATATGACTATTACAAGGCTGAACAGTGTAAAGTATCTCATATATATACTAAATGACTATTTCCTCCATTTTCACTAATGCCTTCATATTTATAAACCATGTACCTATTTTTTTTTTACTGGTAAATATGACAGTAAAGTAAGACTTTACACAATTTAACACATTAGAATAAAAGGCTGAAACTTATGTTTCATCTCCAGGCACAAAGCAATCCTTTACATTCATTAAATACTATACAACATCTCAAACAAATGTGAATATTCTCCGAAAAATGCTTGTATTCCGAATTCTCAGGCAGGTAAGTGGAGATATTAAGCAAAGGAAAGAGATGGAGCCAGAGGCTGGCTGGGGGCAGGAGGAGTAAAGTGTGCCCTGGGCCGCGCTCCACCCCGTGATCTGTGCTTGGGGCTCTGACAGCTGCAGCTGGCTCCTGGAAGGGAGGCACCTGTCCGGGCGCACCGCAAACAGCACACCACCCCCCGCCTGGGTGCACCTCCCTGTCCTCCAGTGAGTTCAGAAGACCAAACCAGGTTTACGTTCAGATCTGTGGGCTGACCTTCCAAGCAAGCATAGATCAATTTCAGAGCCTTCCCACCTGCTTGCTTGCCTGATGCCTAAAATTCCTTCAAGATTCACCGAAGCCTCCATTCCACAATTAGAAGTAAAAGGCTTTAACAGCAGATGCCTGCTAGAAGGAAGCTATGAGCTAACATTTATTCTTTGTATTCCCACAAAATGTGCATAGTGAGGAGCTCACGTACGACCCCAGGAGTTCCACGCTGTGCTGGGCTACCAAGGTGATTCCAGCGCGCCATGCCGGATGCAGCCATGTGAAGTACAAGTCCACTGGCTAAATGAGTCACATTTCCACAAACCTAAAGGAGGCCACTTGCCTAAGGCCTCACACAGCAGAGCTTCTGGGCCCCCCACAGCTGCCACAGCCACGTTGCATGGGCTGAGGCTTCACACAGCCACACAAACTTTCCACAGGCTGCATTTTACCAGTGGCCTGCCTGGTAGTTCTGTAATCTAGCTACTCAGGTGGACACAACCACCCCTCAGTACAGCGCT